GGGTCCTCCGGAGGACCCGGCCTGTCGTTTTGGACACAACTGAATTGCTGTTCTTTGGTAATGCCTACTCACGAGCGCCCCCCTCTGGTGGGGAAACTTTTTTCAGGTAAACAAACTTTTTCAGAACACCGTTAGACGGCAGCCATTACAGACGAATGTGTGTTTGTTATTGTTCCAGGGGCGGCTCGGTCACACGCTAATGTTATTAGTTTGTTATCATTATTAAGCTGCAGGACTGCTTTTTAATTATTTTTATTTCACATCATGTTGCCTGCCTGAATCTGTTACTCGCTCGAAGGCAAGAAGGAGTGTCAGAGGTAAGCTCGCTTCAACCACTTTTTGCGACATGGTCTCATTTCTGGACTCAGGTATTTTGTGAATCAGGCCGATATTTCAGTTAAAATACATTAATAAAAATATTGATCCGAATATACTACTATACCCCCCACACACACACCACCACCACCACCACCACCCCAACTTTATGGATGATTTTGAAGAAATTTATTGGTCACTTACTTACTGATTCTAAAAGCCCAACATCATTTCATAGTTTTCCTAATTACTGGTTTCTATAAACTATTGTGTGATTATTGTTGTGCCTTGATTAAAATGGTTTTAGTTACATGCCTGGAGCACCATGGTGGTGGGCGGGCCAGACACTGAAGAAATATGATAAATCATTTGTACTTCCAGGGGTTCGGTCTGAGCGCTGCTAACTCTGCAACTTGAAGCATTAAAGCGCCGTTCAGAACCAGTACTGGTTTGGTTGTATGGTCTATTCTCTTCACATTTTAATCAATTCAACTTTCTTGTGGTTTATGCACAATTTCAGTAAAATAACATGAATTTTCTTATAATTTTATGGGTTAAATTTAAGGTAATTCAAATGAATTGTAGGGATGGCTCAATCAGTTTCAGTTGGGTGAGGCATCCTCTTGTTTGAAATTTAGTGGCTCAAAATATGATCAAACATTTGGTTGACCGGGTAGTTAATTGAAATAATTAATAAGAAAGATCCACAAACAAAACATTTACCTTAGTTTGGCCAGTGTCTTCACCAGAGCATATTCCCGTCGCCGTGAGGATGACATCCATCTTTTTTTCTCTGCATGTGCTAAGCTCCACCCACCAAAACCAAACATGGCAGAAAATCCAAAACGCACCAACTGACCACAAGATGAAAAGCTGCACATGTCCACCTGCTGCAAGTGACCTGCAAGTAGACAGGAGATCTTTATTATTGTCTGCTGCAATGAAGGACAGTAGATAAAGTAATTGCTTGTGTGTGTTTTGAAACATTTGATGAAGTAAGCTACTGTTGCTACAGAAAGCTGTCTCTCCTTGTGCAAGTCAAATCTAACCTTGGTGCTGTATGTTTTTGTGTCTCTTCTCAGTTTCTCTGGGTTTTAAGGTRTCTTGTCTTGTCATAGAGCCTTGTTATGGTGAACTATCTTGCTACAACTTGTCAAATAAAAACACCTCCTGCTGCCAGCTGATTGATCTGCAGCTTCAGCAGCTGTTCAAAGTGAAGGGGGCATAGCTACGCTGAGCACAGCAAACATACGATTTAGTGAAACTGATCCTGCTGTTGAATCTGTCTGCTCCCTCCCTTTGGAGTCCAGTGCCACCATCTGTCTTCTGCTTTGTTCTCAAATTCTGGATCTATTGCAACCAGTGGTGGCTGGTGGATTTTTCTCCAGGGGGGGCTACAACTCCAAAATAGACTAAGTACTAAGTAGTATCATGCCAGTCAATTTATTATACATGTGAAAATAATAAAACAGCATTACAGTTAACCGTTGGTTTTGGTTGGTTTTGGTTGACCTTTGACCACCTGGGGTCCAGTGGTGGATGCTGGTCTTTCAAGGAGAAGAAGCTCAGTTTTGTCCTACATAATAAAATGTGTGGGTTTATAAATTCTACA